AAAACTGGTGATCTCAGCCATGGAGAAGGTGGGGCCTGCCATGGCAAGACTGGCGTGGTCTTGGGAAAAAAAGTGAGTACACTCACCTTTTCACTGCACAGACAGGGGGCCACTTCAGCACTATAGTATTAGGAATACAAGTTTGACAGAATAAGTTTGCTTAATACGACCTTGTCTGCTTCAAAAGTAATGTAGGACAGAGGTTATGTTTTAGGCCCTTAAGATAGCCACCAGATGCATAGCAACTTCATAACTATTTAACATGCTTTTTAGTGAGGAGGTTTGGAGCAGATAACTTCAAAATACTTTACGTATTGAACTTTATCCAAAAAATAAAAGCAGTAACAACATAGTATTGGAAGCTGTTCATTGATGAGATGTCCCTTTGAAGGTAAACAAAACATTTTCTTTTCCATATTTGCATGGCTCGGCTAGAAAATAGTGAGCAGGTCACTATGGCATTAGGAATACATGTTTGCATTCCAAAAGCTAGAGTTTCTTTAATCAACAGAGGTGGGTTTACTTCTCATGTTTCCAAGCTTTTTCCAATACTAAATTTCCTAAATTAGTTATCACATACTGGCAGTAGATTTTTTTTTCTCTCCAGACATACTCAGACTTATTGAGGAATATGATCTCTTAATGAAACTATATAGCAATAGTTAAAGGGAGATTCCAGAACCATAAAGCATGTTAGCTTGCTGAAACCATTTTACAAAAAGTACAGGTTTCAACAGAGATTGTCACGCTTATAAATTAACCTGGTTTACACCCCTGGCTTTCAATCAGAGGACCAGTCTTGTTTCTTCCTGGTTGCTTATGTCAGTGAAGCAAAATTCAAGAGGTAGGCAATTGCCCAGAGCACCTGCCTTGCAAAGACTTCTCTTTGAACTCCATTAGGAAATCTGTGATTGGGCAGTCATCAAAAGTCTGGGTGGGGAAAGAAGGGGCGGGCTTGCAAAGGCTGCAGACAAGAGATCTGCAGCTTTTGCAGCAGTGTTTAGAAAAGCCCCCAATAAAAAAAACATATATTATTAAATGCAAGTATGTTTGCATTTGAGGGAATACCTACTATACAGTCATTTTTATTTTTGTATTTGGGCAGTGGAGTATCTCTTTAAACATACTGCCCATTTTAACAACGTGACAAACGTGAGATGAGCGGGTACAGACGCACGTTAGCACTGGGATTGAGGGAGATTTCCCTGGAATGCAAATTATATTTATGACTGTATATAAAAATATACCATAATAACCACTGAAAAACTATATGGTACAACATGACTTTGCAAATGTGACTTGATATAATGTCCTCTGAAAACTGTGTTTTACCTTGTACTTACTCCTATTTGTCTTTCTGAAAATTAATTTAAAAAATACATCTTCGTTTTCTAATTTCTTACTCTTTCTGCTTCTGGACACTCAATGGGAAATGTCATACAGATGACATACCAAATGCACCCTAAAGTCAACCGCTAGGAGCTGACCAAAGGATATCACAGCAGAAATATTTGTATTAACAAAAACCATCATAAGAATATTGTGTACAGTGGCAAAGAAAAATCTAAAATATTCAATCACTACAGTAATACCATGGAGGCAGTCTGCAATCACACGCATCTAGGAGTCAACAAAGAACACAAATCTTAAAATGAAAACAATGCACCTTCTTAATTTGTACTCACACATGGCACAAAGACAAATGAAGGTCAACCAGTTATTTTGTATGATATCCTATTGTACAGATGAAATGTAGATATACCAAATTAGGAGGAACTGCACAGCAAATACTTGTGATGATCACATGATAATCTGCCCCAATTCTATCCATTTCCTGTAAATATACATTGCAGGGGATATGAAGTGGAATAATATAAAACACAAAAGAATCGGGAAACTGCTAAACATGAATTCATGAAGATGGTGCATACATTATATATTTTTTTTACATTAGAGCCCTATTTTGTAGCTAAAGTGGAATTCCAGCTTGGTGACTTACCTTTCCCATTTTGCCAGGCTGTATACCAGGAAAGGCTGAGGAAAGTTGTGACAAATACTAATGCGGTGGCCACAGTTCCATTTCGGAGCCTCATTTCATTGCACCATCACACTGGTACAAAAAGGTCTTTGGTCTTGGTTTTAATGTTGGAATCTCAGTGTTGGAAATGTAACAGTACAGACCTGTGCTACACTTCAGGCAAAGCATCCAAAGTACAGGTTCATTAGCGCCGACTGGTAAACTTGCCTTTCAGCTTTACACTAAACACCATGACGTGCCTCTCCATTACTGGATGGTCAGCTCCATAACCTTCTTTGTCCGGATTTCTCTGAGGCCTGCTGCCAAACAAAGATAGAAACAAAATGAACCCAATACAAATATTTGACTGAACAAAATATTCCGCTGCAGGTTCTCAAACAACCAACCTCGTCATGGTCAATCAAATAATGATTAACAGAGTGTCAACTGAATTCAACAAATGGCTAACATTGGAGAAAGACAGGAATTCTATAACCTGTCAGTAAGTTTGAAACAAAAGTAGTATTTTAGTGAATGTCACTAAACTCAGAACTACAAAGAATTGAGAGAATTGCTAGTTTAAGGCCAAAATAGCTAAGCTTGAAAACAAATATAAGACAGAAAGATCTAAAGTGAGTAAATCTACACAGTACCCAATTTTTTAAATAAGCCATACAGTTATGCAAAACTAAATATTATGCATGGAACGAATTAATGGTCTGGGAAGATATTGCATGTTTTTGGACAAGCTCCTATTTTAGAAGCTTACCTATTGCGATCAGATTTATTTCTGAATTAAGCTTGTCATTGTTGTATTCACTACAATGCTGATCAGGTAGTTTCTGCTTTTCTCTTATAGCATAAAACATTCAGGCCCTGCAGTAAGGATGGAAAATTATATTGTATAACCATCCTTTACAAGGAGCATAGGATTATAGTATTATAGGGAAAGGGCTACTAAACGAAGAGAGAAATTGTGGGGGGTGGGGGGGAGAAGCAAAATGTATAGTGTCACAATGCAGCAAGCTATATAATGAATAAGTATTGTGAGAAACCCCCAAAAATTCATCTTTAAAAGAGATTGCAAGATATACACATACAGTCCATTTTATAGTCACATATTTTTACATGGCCTGTTTAAATGTCACAAATTATTTTGTCACTTATTAGATCGACACGGAGTCCCATTATCAATCATTTTGGGGTCCCTTAGACACCAAGCATCCTCCCACTCGACATTACTTCCCCTTTGCAACTCATCTTTTCAGTATCGACCATCTTTAGTTACTTCCTAAACTATTTTTTTTATCGTTCCACGTTTCTCCGTGCACCAAGGTGCTTTGTTCCTGTTTTGCATTTCTTCCACCACTTCCTCTGTCCTTATTGTTCTGTGCCATATTTGGTCACTTTGGGGGTTATTTTTTGTTTTTGGATTTGTGTTTAAGTTCCACTTTTCACAGTTTAATTTTTATTTTATTTTTTGTTTTGTTTTCTTTAGGCTGTTTTTTTAATCCTAAAATTGGCTTTTTGTTTCCCCTAATCTTTCACTTCACAGTTCTTTTTGTCCTTGATATCATACTTTGCTCATTTTTCCCGCTATCTGTAAAAACATTTTCCTTCCTTGTGTATTTTCACTCACATATTGCCCTATCATTACATCGAATGAAATTGCATATATGTGCAACAGGACAATAATGGCTTTTGGCTTACTATCCTGCTGACAGCGGTCTACAGCGCTGCAGACATTGTTAGTGTTTTGTAATAAATTGTGGTAAAAACAATGACATTTTCAGTACTGTAGTTCCAAATCACACATTATGCTGTGTATCAATTTTACATTTCTATTTTTTTTTTTATTTCATTAAGCATTCAACAACCACATCACTGAAAAATACAATATAAATAAACAAATCTTGAAAGTTCATTCCAAAGATCTAGTTATAGAAATCCAATTCAGCAGAATGACTGACTGAGCAGTCAATGCCCCCTAGTCTATTTGAATTACCCCATGGTATTGGTCTGCTTGTCACCTCTATGTATCCTGCCAGCCTTCCAAACCCAACTATAACAACATCTCCATCACTTCTCAGGGCTTCCTACATGAACCAGTTTTCCAGCACCTCCATGACATCTAGTGTTTGCTTTTAATTTCTATTGGATAACAGGTTTATGTGTGAATTAAAGAGCCCATGAATATAAAGTGCCCTGTCTGTGTGTGTATACCCAGCAGACCCTCAGGCAGCCCCCCTGGAGCCCCCTCACAGCCCAGCCCCACAATAGGAGCTGTCATTGCAGCTCCAGGAGAGGTCATGCTCAGGGTCACTCTAGCTCCCACCACGCACAGCCAGCCCCAGTCAGAGGGAGCTCTGGGCGAGCCATAGCCCGCAGCAGGCGGAGGGCAGGGGTCAGGCAGGCTGTGCCCGCTGTGCATGGCAGCAATGTCAGTGAGTGTCCCCATCCCGGGTACCGCGGGCACTGCCCTCCCAGGGTCACAGTGACAGCATTAACCCCAGCCCCTCCCAGCCCCTGCCAGCGGGCACAGCTCGTACCGTGTAGCGGTCCCAGGCCTCGGGCAGCTCGGCTCAGTCGCACTCCGGGTCTCCCATAAGTGACTGCTGGCACCGAGCTCAGCTCCCCATGCTGTGTGTCTGTCCTGCTCCGGCAGCTCCGCCTACAGGAGAAGGTGACACGCCCACTGCCACCCCCGCACCAATCACCAGCATCGAGGGGCGGGGCCAGTAACTAAGAGACGGGGGATGCTGTCACCCAAAGCAGGAGCTGCCCTCCGCCCGACGGAGTCACGTGATGGCCAATAGAACTGTGTACTTACCGAGCCCGTGTACTTACCGCGTCAATGCACATACCGAGCCCGTGTACTTACCGCGTCAACGTACATACCGAGCCGTGTACTTACCGCGTCAACGTACATACCGAGCCGTGTACTTACCGCGTCAGCGCACATACAGAGCCCGTGTACTTACCGCGTCAGCGCACATACCGAGCCCGTGTACTTACCGCGTCAACGCACATACCGAGCCCGTGTACTTACCGCGTCAACGCACATACAGAGCCCGTGTACTTACCGCGTCAACGCACATACAGAGCCCGTGTACTTACCGCGTCAATGCACATACAGAGCCCGTGTACTTACCGCGTCAATGCACATACCGAGCCGTGTACTTACCGCGTCAATGCACATACCGAGCCCGTGTACTTACCGCGTCAATGTACATACCGAGCCCGTGTACTTACCGCGTCAAAGCACATACAGAGCCCCTGTACTTACCGCGTCAATGCACATACCGAGCCCGTGTACTTACCGCGTCAATGCACATACAGAGCCCGTGTACTTACCGCGTCAATGCACATACAGAGCCCGTGTACTTACCGCGTCAATGTACATACCGAGCCCGTGTACTTACCGCGTCAATGTACATACAGAGCCCGTGTACTTACCGCGTCAATGTACATACAGCGCCTGTGTACTTACCGTATCAATGTGCATACAGAGCCTGTGTGTGATGGAATTCCAGTAAAATAAAAGTTTAGTAGGCCAAGATTGCCACAAGGCATATGTAGGTACATGTGTTTGTATTATCAGTTAGTTAGTTACACGTAGCTAAGATACCGTTATCAATGTACTGAGCATGTGTAGGAATGCAGGAACTGGAGTTACGCACCCTTCTCTTTTGTTTCAGATGAGCCACATGGTTAGACCGGATGGACGAGTTTAGACTCTGTTCATTGATTGGTTAAGGGTATGTGTGGGCGTAGCTAATTATGGGAGGAGCTATATTGCTATATAAGGAATGTACTCCATGTGTTCAGGGTCAGATATTTTTGGAACAGGAGTTCCAATCGGTACGTGAATAAAGGCCTCTTACTTCCTGAATACCTGTGTCCATCTCTCTTTGTTTGGCTTCTGCACGCTTCCACGGTTACATCTCTGGTGCATTGGCCGGGAAGCTCATCGTCACGGTAGCTGAGACAGAGACGTGAGACGGTAGATCTTTACCAACGTTCTCCACGGCAGCACCCCTGGACTTCTGTGTGGACCTCCTTTCGTCTCGGCGCCACTGGCTTTTTGTCCAGGAGATCATTGGCTTCTGCGCAGTGAGTACCGGGGAGCCCCGTTGATGAGTGTGAAGACCAGGTTCAGGAACGAAGAGGTAAGACTGATACCGTTAGAGCGGTAGGCCCACAAGGGGTTTTATATTTGGAATTGGTTGTATGGAATCTGCCCCATCCCTCTGGATGGAAGATGCGGAGGCGCACCGTTAAATGGAAATTAGACGCTCTGTAGTCAGCCTGTCTAATACAGGTGGTTTGGGTCAGGCTGAATTTTTGGTGTAAATAGTTCAGGCCAGGCACCAGTGTCCTGTCTTGACTAGCGTATCTAGGTGTAAATTTTGGTCGCCAGGTCGGGGGGACCGGGAGACTAAGCAGATTCTGGTGTACATTCCGTCTGCTAGATCTCAACCTATCTTGGCTAAGTGGGAGGCGTATAAATTCAGTCATGAGTCCTGTTGTAAATTCCGCTCACTAGTTCGCTATATGTGGTGTTTGGGAAGCGTAGACTAACCAAACCTTGGTGTAAATTGATTGATAGTTCTCAAGGTGCTGGCCAGTTAGAATAGTTGGGGTGATTGTAAATAATTGTTAGATATACTGTAGTTGGTTAACTGGTGAATTGGCTAAATTGTATGTCCTGCTAGAAAGCTTGAGCTCTGCCTTCTAGCGGGAGTGTAAATTGTGTGTATAACTGTATAATAGTGCATGGTACCATAATCACTAACATGTATTATAATTACTGACATTATGTATTGTATATTGTAGCGGAGGCCTGGTATTTCACAGGTTAACTCCACTAAGATCCTAGTGAGGCTCAGGAACAAGTGATGAAAAATCCCATGAAGCAATAATTCCAATAAGCAAGGCAATGCAAGAATCAGATCCCAATGACTGGACGACACTCAGCATCAGGAGCAGAACTCTTATTACACACAACCTCCTTTTAAGCATTTCTCCCATGCAAGGGAGGGATTCACATTCATTAGGACAGTACCCAATGGCATAGTAGTTACCTCCCACCCATCTCCTCCCCTTAGTATGACACCTAATCCCATTATACAAGACACAGATTTCCCCAAGTTCTGGATGTACCCCAAGATTAGCAGGTACACCCATACTTAGGGTACCCCCTGGTAGCCCTGATCTGGGTGACCAACATATCCAAAATTCACCCAGATCAGACCAGGGGTTCGGGAGTTAGGTGGAGGGTGAAATTTGACCGACCACACATGAGGTGGGATCCGAAACGGGTTCCATGCGTTTTGGCCCTGCAGTCGGTCTCCGTTCGGGAGGTAAAATACATAGAAATAAACTGTCCGAACGGGGGGCTGATTAGTCTTCCCATTCGGGAGTTATGGAGCTCTAGAGGTGTCAGCCGTGTTCGGGTAATCGAGTATCCGATTTGAGTTCCAGACACTCGACGACCAAACACCGCTGAGTCTTTCGTGCGTAAGATGGCACCCAGATACATCAATAAACCACCTATTAGTCTGCGGTTAACACATGTTCGACAGCTTAATTGGGAACACACTTCACTCTGGTGAGGTCTATTAGTTCGGTAGTTTCCATTCGTATGAAATACAGATGGAAACTACTGAACAAACATACGAATGCCATTTACAGGGAATACAAATCAGAAACAACACACGAATTGCAGGATTCTCATAGTTTTTTAAGGACAGCCACAGTGCCATCCGCTACACTGCTCCCCCTTGCCCACAAGCTGGCATACACAGTCTGATCCAACACGGATCGGCTTGAGGATGCTCACGAATCATTTCTCCAGGTCAGTTTGTCTTGACAACCCGTCAGCGTTCCCATTCTGTTTTCCTGGGTGGTACTGAATGTTAAAGTCAAAGGGCTGCAGCGCCAAACTCCAGCGCAGCAGCCTGGCATTGTCCCCAGCCACCCGGTTCAGCCATACTAACGGGTTGTGATCCGTGAGCAAGGAAAAGGGCTGTCCATACAAATACGGCTGCAATTTCTTCAGGGCCCACACCACAGCCAGGCATTTCTTCTCGATGGCGGCGTAGCTTACTTCTCGGGGTAACAGCTTGCGACTGATGTAAGCCACAGGATGTTCTCTGCCATCGGCCCCAGCTTGACTCAGTACTGCTCCCAATCCAAACATAGAAGCGTCTGTGTGAACAAGAAAACGTTTAGTTGGATTGGGAGCTGCCAAGACAGGGGCATTGATCAATGCATTTTTCAGGAGTTGGAATGCCTGCTCACACTCCGGGGTCCAGGTTACTTGGCGGGGAAGGTTCTTACGGGTCAGGTCAGTAAGGGGTTTGGCCAGGGCGCTATAGTTCAGGACGAATTTCCGATAGTATCCTGCCGTTCCTAAGAAGGCCAGCACCTGAGTCTTCGTCCTAGGGGTAGGCCATTGGGCTACGGCCTCTACTTTGGCTGGTTCTGGCTTCTGTTTCCCACATCCTACTCGATGGTCCAGGTATTGTACCTCGGCCATCCCTATACTGCATTTGGCTGGTTTCAGCGTTAAACCGGCTTCTCTAATCCTGTCTAGGACCGCTCCTATATGGGCCAAGTGCTCCTGCCAGGTATTGCTAAATATGGCAATATCATCTAAGTATGCACATGTATAATCTTGGAACCAATCTAGGAGGCGGTCCACTATCCGCTGAAAGGTAGCCGGAGCGTTTTTCATCCCAAACGGCATGACCTTAGATTGGTACAAGCCGAATGGGGTGACATAGGGATGGCGTCCTGGGCCAAGGGGATTTGCCAATACCCCTTACACAAGTCAATAGTGGTGAGGTAGTGGCCCCTAGCCATCCTGTCCAGCAGTTCGTCTATCCAGGGCATGGGATAGGCGTCAGACACGGTCTTCTCGTTCAGCCTCCGGTAATCTACACAAAAGCAGGTCGTACCATCCCGCTTTGGTACTAGAACTACCGGAGAGGCCCAGGGGCTATCTGAGGGTTCAATCACCCCCAGCTAGAGCATCTCTTCGATCTCCTTGCGTATATTTTCCCGCACTGCTTCTGGGATGCGGTACGGGGTCTGGCGCATGGGAAGTTGTCCTGGGGTCTCTACCCGGTGAGTGGCCAGAGGAGTGTATCCAAGTACATTAGAGAATGTATCTTGCTTCTCTCTTAACAGTTGTTGCACCTCGATCCGCTCCTGAGGGCTCCGCCGGTCTCCCAGTGCAACCTCCCCTAAATCTCCAGACAACTGAGCAGGTCTGGGAGTGGCAAGCTGTCGAACTCATCCGAGTTGGGTGCACATATTGCAGTCATCTCCTCGGAGCGCTCCTGGTAGGGTTTCATCATGTTCACATGGAGCATGCGGCGCCCTCCAGTTCCAACGCAAGAGCCGATTATATAAGTGGTGTCACACCTCTGTTCCACCACCCTATAAGGGCCCTGCCAGGCGGCCTGTAACTTTTCATGACGGACAGGTTTTAAAATTAACACTTTCTGTCCGACCTGAAAGCTACGGTCCCTGGCGCCCCGATCATACCATGTGCGCTGGCAGGTCTGAGCCGCCTGTAAGTTTTCCCTTACAGTCCTAGTTAATGCTTCTAGGCGGTCTCGGAATGCCAACACATAGGGTATGATGGGGGTGCCGTCGGTGCTCCGCTCTCCCTCCCAATGCTCTCTAATCAAATCTAGTGGCCCCCGTACCCTTCTCCCAAATAACAATTTAAACGGGGAAAACCCGGTGGACTCCTGCGGCACCTCTCGCTAAGCAAAGAGGAGGTGGGGCTAAATCGTTCCCAGTCCTTGTGGGTCTCTGCAAAGGTTCGGAGCATTTGTTTCAATGTTCCATTGAATCGTTCACAGAACCCATTAGTCTGGGGGTGGTAAGGGGCACTAATGATCGGCTTCAGGGCCGCCATCAGGGGGTGACAACCTTGATGGTTGTCACGGGCCCGGCGGCCCTGGGGGGCCCGGCCGCCCAGGCCCCATGTGGAGCGGCGAAACTGCCGCAGGTGCATCTGCACTGGGGCCCATCAGGTGGCCCAAGCATTTAGGGCCACCTGATGGGCCCTGTATCTTCAAGGGCCCGGTCAGCGCTGCGCTGGGTAATTGCGCGACCGGGCCCCTTTAAAAAAAAAAAGAAATTGCGGCTAAACACCGCAAGGGCTGCTGGGAGGAAATGACGGCTGGTCACTTCCTCCCAGCTTACTCCGCGCAGGGGGAGAGCGGAGGAGAGGGACACCAGAGGCATCCACTCCCATCATCCCCAGCCACCCTCCTGCAACTTAAAGGTAAGAGGAGGGTGGCTGATAAATGAGGTGTGTGTGTATCTGCAAGCATGTCAGTATGTCTGTGTGTGTGTGTGTGTGTATGTCAGTATGTATGTCTGTGTGTGTGTGTGTATGTCTGTGTGTGTGTGTATGCTCGCGATGTGTCTGTGCGCGTGTTTGTGTGCTGCCGCATGTATGTCTGTCTGTGTATGTCAGCATGTATGTCTGTGTGTGTGTAGCGGCTACAAGTATGTATGTTCGTGTGTGTGTGTGTGTGTATGTTCGTGTGTGTGTGTGTGTATGCTCAGTATGTATGTCTGTGTGCGCAGGTGTTTGTGTATGTCAGTATGTATGTTCGTTCGTGTGTATGTCAGTATGTATGTCTGTGTGTGTGTGTATGTCAGTATGTATGTCTGTGTGTGTGTATGTCTGTGTATGTCAGTATGTCTCTGTGTCTGTGTGTGTGTGTGTATGTCAGCATGTATGTCTGTGTGTATGTCAGTATGTATGTCTGTGTGTATGTCAGTATGTATGTCTGTGTATGTCAGTATGTATGTCTGTGTGTATATGTCAGTATGTATGTCTGTGTGTATATGTCAATATGTATATGTCAGTATGTATGTCAGTATGTATGTCTGTGTGTATGTCAGTATGTATGTCTGTGTGTGTGTGTGTATGTCTGTGTGGATGTCAGTGTGTGGATGTCAGTATGTATGTCTGTGTGTGTGTATGTCTGTGTGTATGTCTGTCAGTATGTATGTCTGTGTGTGTGTATGTCAGTATGTATGTCTGTGTGTGTATGTCTCTGTGTATGTCTGTGGGTGTATGTCTGTGTGTGTCTGTGTGTGTGTATGTCTGTGTGTATGTCAGTATGTATGTCTGTGTGTGTCATGTATGTGTGTGCGTCAGCGTATGTCTGTGTGTATGTCAGTATGTATGTGTGTGTATGTCAGTATGTATGTCTGTGTGTGTCAGTATGTATGTGTGTGTGTGTATGTCAGTATGTATATCTGTGTGTGTGTGGATGTCAGTATGTATGTCTGTGTGGATGTCAGTATGTATGTGTGTGTGTGTGTGTGTGTGTCAGTATGTATGTGTGTGTGTGTGTGTCAGTATGTATGTGTGTGTGTATGTCAGTATGTATATCTGTGTGTGTGTATGTCTGTGTGGATGTCAGTATGTATGTCTGTGTGTATGTCAGTATGTGTGTATGTCAGTGTGTATGTCAGTGTAACGGACCGTTTTGCACACAAGGGGTAAAAAACGTTTAGGCGATCGGCCCCCTTTCCAGAGATACAGGCACAGCTACCTCAGAACACCAAACTCCCGAACTGGATACAAAATAGCACTCCAACTCCCGAACTGGAACCTCCCAAATAGCTGCTAGCAGACGAACAGGAAAAGCAGACAATCAGCTTACACTCCTGGCAATCAGTCTCTAATAGCATACAGTGAATCCCCCCAAGAACGAGACAAGGCTCTGTGTTGAGAGTCAAGCAGTGGTCTGAGGTGCTGGCACACCCAGCCTGGTTTTTATTACAGTCTTTTCAAATACAGGACCGCCCACAGGGAGGTATAAAACAACCAATCACATATCAGTTACATCCCACATATTCCCTCCCCAACTTTCATAACTCTAAAACCATACATCACATTCACATAAAATTACATATTCACAATCAATCCATTCAGGGGAACAACATATTAAAAATGGCATGAATCAGACCAGGGGTTCAAAAGTTAGTAAAAGTATCTTTTAAACCCTGGCTGGCACATGGCTATCTGGCTCAAACAGGTTTTACAGAGACCTCTAGCCTGGAGACAATGGGGAAAATAATCCAATTATCCAGGGATAGAGGCAGACTCCATTGAGCACATGGTTGCAAAAAGACATAAAACACTTTCAAATACATAAAGTCACCTTTTAATAACACACAGACATTTCACATATCCCCAGATAGCTGGGATCTGAGCGCACAAAACTACCGAATAGCGCTCAGATCCTATTCACACAGTTCAATTGCCATGGAGCCGAAGTCTTTAAAGCGGCACTGTCATGCCGAATCTCGGTTTTTTTTTTTTTAACCCCCCTCCCGCCTCCACTACATCCAATTGACCCACTAGTCACCCCCAAATGCCCCTATGCCCCCCACATTACCTATTTTTTAATCCTTATTTTCTGCCCCGATCTTGATTCAGGGCGCCGCCATCTTTGTGTGGGTAGGTGAAGTCCCTATGGGACACGTCATCAGCCCACACTAGACAGACTGTGAGATTCCCGCACATGCCCAGTGAAACACCTGGACATGCGAACGGGAATTTCATCTATTCACTCATTCATCAGACAGACGAATGAGTGAATAGAAATATCAGCCGAACAAACTAACACTATGTATCAGTGTATCTGAGTATCAGTGTATGTTTGTTCGTGCAGGTTATTACAAGGAGGGAGCTACCGGCACGCAGCTCCCTCCTTGTATTATGTAAAGATAGAAGCGGCAGGGAGCAGTGCTCCCCACCACTTCATAAGCCCCCCCAGGTCCCCCTCTCACTCTATGGAGGTCAATATGACCCCCAAAATAGCACAAGGGAGATTAAAATCTCCCAAATGCCCCTACTCGCTATACCGCGAGTGGGGACATGTCTACTAAACAGTGAGCAGCCTGTGGCTGCTCACTGTTGAAAAAAAATTACATAAATTACAATAAGGGGGGGCGGACCTATGGTCCTCCCCCCCTCCCCCACCCTGAGCGGCGGGTGGGGGCCATGAAGATAATGAGGGAGGGGGACCTACTGTCCTCCCCC